AGAAAAGGAAGGAAGGGAGAGAGAGAGAAGAAACAAAAAAAGCCAAGAAAACAGTAATACAAAAATTTAAAAATGGCACTGGGGGAGCTGGCCTTTGGGGGCAAGGCAGACCTGGGTAGCAGTAAGCTGATGTCTCTCTGGCTGAGTGACTGTGGCCTGTTGGAAAGTGGTGGAGGCTGCATAGAGGGAAGAAGAGTGGGGACTGCAAAAGCATGTATCCCTGGTTACCGGGTGCTCTGTCTCCTGTTGGAAGCTCTGTGAAGTTGCCTTCCCGTACTCCTTGTCCGCTGTTCTTGGCGGCTGAGGTCCAAGATGGTGAATCCAGACCACGTTAGCTGGTAGGGGACCTCCACTCTGTAGCTCTCCTTGTTCTCTGTTCTCTGTCAGTTTCTTATTCCATTGGGTGCTTGTTTGAGTTCTTTATCCCTTCATCTGATGCCTAAGCTTCCAGGATTGATGTTTGTATCTGTTTTACTTAGTTTTTCAAGTCTTTGCTGCAGAGGGCCGGCATGGTACTTCTGTCTGTAGTGCAGTGTTCTCTAGTTTAGTCTCCAGTTGTCCTTTGAACCATTTATCATGATCATCGTCTGTATGCTAAAAATGAATCCCAAAGTTACTTCAGTGTTTTTCATACCCCTCCCCCCGCAAAAAAAAAAAAAAAAAAACAAACCCATTGCTGTTGAGTCGATTCTGACTCATAGCGACCTTGTAGGACAGAGTAGAACTGCCCTATAGGGCTTTATGGAAGCAGACTGCCAAACCTTTCTTCCATGGAGTGGCCAGTGTGTTCCAACCACTGACCTTTCGGTTAGCAGCAGAGCGCTTAACCACTGTGACACCAGGGATGTCATTTTTTATACTACTTCCATTAATAATTGATATGGTTACACAACCCAGTAAATTTCTGTCCTGATAGAAAATTGTCTACCCAAATTGTCTTTCTATCCTATTTCACTTACCTGCTAAGACTTTCTATACTTCATTGTTTTATTTTCAGCTTTCATTCCAATTCACCTTCACCACAGGAGTCCCATTGCCTTATTTTGAATCAGATTACTTTTTCTTCCTTGATTGCATCTCTTTTCATAAAGTTTTGGAATGTCATCTTCATCCTTCTTTTCACTGATGGCTTTATTGCTGGGCCCCATCTATAAAGTGGAAACCCTGGTGGCGTAGCGGTTAAGTGCTGTGGCTGCTAACCAAAAGTCCAGCAGTTGGAATCCACCAGATGCTCCTTGGAAACTCTATGGGGCAGTTCTCCTCTGCCCAGTAGGGTCGCTATGAGTCGGAATCAACTTGATGGCAACGGGTTTCGTTCGGGTTTTGGTATCTACAAAGCAGACCCTGTAGCATTGCCTGAGTATCAGACAATTCTTCCTTTCTAAATATAAATGTTTACTATTTTATTTAAAGTAGTGGGTGCATTGCCTCCTCATCCTCTTCCTTCCTTTCTTTTGTAGAGACAAACTTTAGTTGATTCATATAGAATGAATTGTGAACAAACCAGGTCTATAAATGTGCTATAGTTATAGGGCTTGACTTAGAAGAGAGGCTAGCACTGTGTTTTAAATAGAGAAAGGACTTACTGGTTTTACCTCTTAAATATTTCATGATTGCATCTGCTTCTCTCTATTTCTTTCTCCACCATCTCCTTCTTAACCAATTTAGATTTCATTATCCCTCATCTGAATTACTGCCAGAGCCTCGTCAGTGGTTTCTCTGCAATCACTGTTACATCCTTCTAATCATTTCTTCATATTGCAGCCAAAGTGATCTTTTGGAAGTGTACATGCATCTCACTGTTTCCCTGCACTGCTGCTTAAAGCTCTACAGGTCCAAAGTTGCATGAAAAGATACAATCAAGAGTGAAAAAAAAAACTTTTGATAAACCGCCAAACTGCATAATTAGCTCAATGGTCTTAGATGATCTGGCTGCTGTTTGCCTCTCCAGCCTCATTGTGCATCGCTCTCCTTCCTCATGTCTCTGTTACACATGCAGTGGCCTTCTTGTTGTTGTTGTTCTTTGTTTCTTAAATAAGATGAGCTAATTCCATTTCTTATGCTGTCTCCTCTTGGACTTGCCACAACCCTCAAGCCTAAAGAGATTTACACATCTTTAAGATCACAGTGCAGAGACTATACTTCCTCAGGGAAGTCTTTTCTGTGAGCATTACTCCAATATGTTTCAAATTTTCTTTTTTGTGTTCTCCAAGCCTCTGGAAATGGATTCTTCATAAGACTTAGTACCTGTTGCCGTCGAGTTGATTCTGACTCATAGCGACCCTGTAGGACAGAGTAGAACCCACCATAGAGTTTCCAAAGAGTGCCTGGTGGATTCGAACTTTCGACCTTTCTTTTAGCAGCCAAGCTCTTAACCACTATGCCACCAGGGCTCCAGACTTTGTACATTCAGTAATTTTATATCTTGGTTTTGTTTTTGTTGTTGTTGTCTGTGTGTTTACTTAGTATATTTTCTCCATTAATTATATGTGCTTAGCATAGTATTTGTCACAAGCATGCTCATATTAAATACTTAGAATTTATTGAGAGAGGCCAACTGGACAAAGGAAGATGGAAAAAGATTTCTTGCTATGGAAATGCTATAGTTGCCTGCATTTCAAGAGATAATAAATGTTATAGCATGGTACCTGAAAGATCTGACTTTAAAAATATAGATTGAATTTCTTTGAAAATAAAGAGCATATATAGGATTCAGCAAAACAAATATATGTCAAGTGTCCTTAGTGCCCACTTACAGGACTCCTTTCCTAGAAAATTCATTCTCAAGGAGACTTTGAAAGGGATAAGGATATTTTCACTCCAGTAGGCAGATTAGTTGCTGTTTCATTAACTACTATTGGTTAAAGATTACAGGCCACTCAATATATAATTTGTAAGTTCTATATCAAACATTACTCCTGACCACAAATACCTCAGTAATTTTCTTGTCTTTGTTTTGTCAAAAAATAAATTTTAGTCTTTGTTTTATTACGAGATAAATTTTTAAAGAGGATAAAATCATGACTTTTGTATATGTGTCAAAGACTTTATTTAATTTACTAATGTAATGAAGGAACCAACAGATACTACAAATGAATTCAAAAGAGAAATCAAAGTACCACACGTTTATAGTTGATAAGGGATTCTGAGATTAATTTACAAATGGATGCAAAATTAGCAGAACTAGTCAATATCCACAGGATGATAATCATTAAGTTATACTTCTGTCTCTATACATAACTTCTATCATTACAGAATTTTTCTCTGTAAAATGGCCTGATCAAAGTCACATAAAAGGCCTACACTCCTATAGAGTCAGGGAATCCTCAGAGGCTCTATTTTTATTTCAAAATCTTTTATACTTTCCCTACAATTTCTAAAATGACAAAGTTAAATGCATTCATGAGAAATACTGCGAGGTAAAACCACTATTTTTTATACCTCTATTTCAGTTATAAAAATATAGTAAATGGTCTCTATTCATTATTTTTGCTTTCTAATCACAGGATTTTGTTGATGGAACTGTGTACTGGCCATAAGTGGGAATAGATCAGACTGTATCTATTAGCTCTAGCAATATATATGAGAATACCTTTAAAGGGAAAGATTCTCCCATATTTCCCTCCTCTTAGCCCTAAAATAGTTGTTTTTATTTTTGCCTGTATGTTTTCTGCCTTTATCCATATACATAGATAAATTCACACAATTATGAACCAAGAAGATGTTATAATTTTGTGGAGGTTTTATGGATGCTGAATTTTTGTTTTTGTCTCTTTGTTACCCATAGTACTAGCAACAATGGATTTTTTTTCCCCTTCCCAGTAGTTACTGCTAATTACCAAAAACAAAAACCTCACCCATTGCTGTCAAGTCGAATTCCGACTCATAGTGACCCTGTAGGACAGAGTAGAACTGCCTCATAGGGTTTCCAAGTCTGTAATCTTTATGGAAGCAGACTGCCTCATCTTTCTTCCACGTAGTGCCTGGTAGGTTTGAACTGCCAATCTTACAGCTCGCAGCCAGGCGTTTCAACCACTGCACCACCAGGGCTCCTTTCTAGTGCCCATTACTATACCCCAAACCATATAGAAGTAGTCCTTTTTCTCTCCAAAAAATTGTAATTTTTTACTTCTGCATACTGGAAACCCCTCTGTAACCTTGAACTAAGAAGATGGGACTCAGAACTAGCAGTAGTGTTTGTGAATTATTACAGCGGATAGTACTTCTCAACCAGGTGAAATACAGTGATTGAACAAAAAACCTTCATATGTGGAATTTTTAGAGAGCTACTGTTGTCACTTATAAGCAGAAGCTATAATTAATATTAAAAAGTAAAATGTAAATGGATACTGATAAGAGTAAGGTAAAGGAGAAAAATTATAATTTGTGATAATACTTTATTGTATAATTTATCAGAAATCTATCTAAGTAGAGCCAAAGGGAGAGTGTATAATAATTTCTTGAGTCTTTAAATTATCTTTAAATTTATATTGTGACTCCCTACCCCCAGCACTCCCGGCCATGCTAATCCTTCTTAGCTTGAGCTACTCATTTTCTATAACTCCTATCACCACCTAGCATACTATGTAATTTACTTATTTTTTACATTTATTATTTATTGTTTGTGCTCTCTCACTAGAATAAATTCGAAGCGTGCTGGGTTTTTTGTTTGTTTTGTTCGCAGATGTTTATGTATCCAAGGACTTAGAACACTGCCTGGCACATAATAGGCACTCAATAAATATATTACTAAATGAATAAAAGAATAAATGAGTATGTGCTATCATATTTTCAGTAGTGGCATATGAAATAGTTTGGTTTTACTGTAATTCTTTGGTTTATACTGAGTGTTATAAGAGACAATTATTTCAGGAAGTGATTTATTTGTAGAATCTGCAGAGCTGCTCAATGAATGCTCTATTGAAATCTCTGACTTGTGCTTTTAAATGTTGCATTGCCAATGTGTTTTGAGTTTGATTTATTTATTCTTTCTATTTCAGAAAACAACCCTTTTTCTTGCACATGTAAGTGGAGCTGTGCTGACATTTGGTCTGGGCTCATTATATATGTTTGTTCAGACTATCCTTTCCTACCAAATGCAGCCCAGAATTCATGGCAAGCAAGTCTTCTGGATCAGACTGCTGATGGTTATCTGGTGTGCAGTAAGTGCATTTAGCAGTATCCTTTGCTGTAAAAATGTGACTACACTTGGAGAGAATGGAATAACAAAGTTAAATTGAGCACCCTTGGCACATTGCAAGCAGCATTTTTGTGGGAGTGATTCTTGGGTCAATAATCCTAAATTAAAGGATCTGAAACACAGAATTCAAATTGTGCCTAGGACCTTAGTAACTAAAGCAGGAACAAAGATAGTATTCAGCCTGAGCATACTCACTTCAAAGAAATGAAGGATGAGTTAATGCCCTACCTGAGAACAATTATCCAGCAGAGCTTATAATAGAATTGCTAATTTACTGAGCAAAGAGGAGGAGGTTGGCTATGAAAACCATTTTGTACTAATCTGCTGGGCATGTTTTAATTTTACAACTGCTTATAATAATAAGTGTTTGAGAAAATTGGTTTGGACCTTTGCAACGAATGTATGAATAATCCTTCTGGACCTTTGAAGTGATTTTTGTTTTGAATCTGATTTAAATTTACAGGTCATCTCTTAGATTTTTCCTTAACTTATTTCTTTATAGTGCTGACTTGCTCATCCCTTTTGTACAATGGCAGTTTTGGCACTGATATAGTACAGAAACTCCACTGGAACCCTGAGGACAAAGTAAGAACTTGGTGTCTATAAAACTTAGTTTTATGCTAAAGATTACTATTGGGTGGATTTTGATGATTTTTCATTTCAAACTAGCAGTGAAACTTTTTCAGTAGAATTTCAGTTGTGTATTGGGATTATTTTCTAGACATTATAGAGCTTATGTAGAACCATCCATATTCTCCTGTCACCTGTGATAATTGGACATTTTCAAGGCATGAAAAGAATTGTGATGACCAAGAATTTTCTTAGAAATTGACTCCCCTAAATTGGATATGGAGCCCTAGTGGCACAATGGTTAAGAGCTTGACTGCTAACCAAAGGTTCAGCAGTTTGAATCCACCAGCTGCTGCTTGGAAACCCTATGGGGCAGTTCTGCCCTGTCCTATAGGGTCACTATGAGTCAGAATCGACTCAGTGGCACCTAACAACAACAGCAACAAATGTGGATATAGTATACAGTATGCCCAGCTGAGACCTTTTATCATTAGAATACTCATTTTCTTTGTTGACTTTTTGTTACCTGGAAGTTTATTAAAGACTACATTTGGCTTCCAATAAAGTGGATATCTGAATGGGGATAGCATCTTTGATCCTGAGAATAAAAGAGGAGGAACAGATGCTAAAATGAAATGAGTTCATCTGTTTTCACTAACCACTCAATGGCATTCTATTTTAAACTGTCTTTTAAGAATTAGCTCTGAACGGGACATACTTGTGAGGATGAATGAATGAAATAATTTACTAGATTCTTCTAATTATAAATCCACTTATTATTTAATATTCTAAAAATAGCAGTTACTAAGTTTATCATAAGCATCATTTACTTAATCTTTTAATGGCATCTTATGAACATTATGACTTTGGGAAAGGCAGTAGCTCCTTGATTATAGAAAAATTCTCCTGTTTTATCTTAGTTACTCAAATGGACATTTTATTTACTCTAGATGAAACCGAGATAATTCTTATCACTTAGGAGGATTTTCCTCTTGTCTTCCCTTTAATTCTTGAGATATGTTGATTAAATTTGAGAGAAATTGTAGATCATTAGAATGAAATTTCACAGAACTATTCTTTTTTTTCCCCCATCATTCAAGGGTTATGTGCTTCACATGATAACCACTGCAGCAGAATGGTCCATGTCATTTTCCTTTGTTTGCTTTTTTCTGACTTATATTCGTGATTTTCAGGTAAGAAAACACAGAATTAAATTTATGCAGAGTCAGTTCTCCTCCAGGTGGACCAAGAGAACTTTTCACAAGCAAATCTCCAACCTTTTCAGAAATTAATTTTGTTTAAAATTCGGCACCATGAGCAGTGATTCCAGAAGAGTAATCCTTCAGGTGAACTGTTTCTGTTTTTGAGAGAAATAGTGTGTTGCTAGCAAGGTTCAGCCTTGAAAATAGGGTTGTAAAACAATTGAATTTGGAGAAATTCTTCCACAGATTTTCAGCAGTCCTGTCTACATTTATATAGGCTATCCTCAACATTTATTAATTGCTGATTCTTAATGGAAACCAAGGAAAAACAACGAACTTTGTGAATCAGAAAAAGTTGATGTCTTAGTCATCTAGTGCTGCTATAACAGAAATACCACAAGTGGATGGCTTTAACAGAGAAATTTATTTCTTCACAATAAAGTAGGCTAAAAGTCCAAATTCAGGGTGTAAGCTCCAGGGGAAGGCTTTCTCTGTCAGCCTTCTCATCAGTGTTCCCCTGGGCTAGGAACTTCACTGTGCAGGGACCCAGGGTCCAAAGGATGCACTCTACTCCCGGCACTGCTTTCTTGGTGGTGTGAGGTCCCCAACTCTCTGCTGCTTCCTTCTCCTTTTATCTCTTGTGAGATAAAAGGTGGTGCACGCGACACCCCAGGGAAACTCCCTTTACGTTGGATCAAGGATGTGACCTTGGTAAGGGTGTTACAATCCCACCCTAATCATCTTTAACATAAAATTACAATCACAAAATGGAGGACAACTACACAATACTGGAAATCATGGCCCAGCCAAACTGATAAATACATTTTTGGGGGGGCATAATTCAATCCGTGACAGTTGGTTTTCCCAGAACAATTGGTACTAGAGAGGAGGAGGATACCTTTGACAGTACAACAGCTATCTCTCACATGTTTCCTATTAGAATTGATTCACATTCCTAATTACAAAAGGTAGTCTACAGAACACAATGAAGATGGGATCTGTCTTCAAGAAGCAAGCTTCTATATATAATTTTCTTTTCTGTTGCAGAAAATTTCCTTACGGGTGGAAGCCAATTTACAAGGATTAACTCTCTATGACACTGCTCCTTGCCCAGTTAACAATGAACGAACACGACTACTTTCCAGAGACTTATGATGAAAGGATAAAATCTTTCTGTGATGATTATGATTCTCAGGGATTGGAGAAACATTCACAAATGCCAGTTATTCTGCTCTGCAATTTTCCACCAATTAATCAAGACTGACACTGACATTTATGAATACCGATAATCAAGAGACATAAAGTAAGCCATTTGATAAGTTATTTTAAAGGATATCATCAAGAGGACGATTTAAAACATTTATGCCTATACTTTTTTTATCCCAGAAAATAAAACCAAAGGACTACAACTTGTAGTTTTTCTACTTTATTTAAGAGAAACATCCAGAAGTACACCAAGCAGGCTGCAAAACCCAGCATTTCATATTCTGTAAATCATTGCAAAGCATGTTATGTTTGGAGCGTTTTTCTAGGACTTCAAGTAATCAGCATGGGCAACTCCTTTAGAATTGGGTTTTGAAGCAACAGTTCTGTCATTAATTTTATGTCTTTATCAGCGCAGTCTATAACTCTGGATTTGAAAACTTTAGTATAAAAATAGTGAAGGTGATATTTCTAGGTTCTTTGCTTTCCCAAAAGTCATAAAATACATTTTTTATAGTCTTTTTTATATTTTTGTTCTGGAATTCACCTATAAAGGGAAGCAGACCTGAATTCATGTGAGCTCATTCTTTACGTAAGCTTTGCACAAGAGACTCTAACTGGTCTGTCACACATACTTGCAATAGATTCATGAAACAGTCTCTGGTATAAGATTTTAATCATCAATAAAAGAGATGTAGCTATAGGTAAAAGATTTATTCCAGTCATGGGTTACATGAAACAAGGATTAGTATTCATAAACAAGACTGAGAAGTTTGTGAATAACAGCGAATAGAGCTATATCAAGCAAAAGTCACCTCAAACTGCAGTCAAGTGCTTCTTAGATATTCATTCACTGCCAGTTATAGTTTCTTGTAAAGGTAGTCTTAAACAGGCAAATTTTGAGCTTTTTTAAGGGAATTGATTTTTGTAGGCTCTAAATTCTAAAGAACAATCTTAGCAGTTGAGAAAAATTAGGTTCAAAATAATTATGATGCATTCATCTACCAAAACAGTATTCTCTGGTCATGGAAGTGGCTGGATGGCTTTTACTTAGATCCTTACTGTGCAAGCAAAGAATTCTTTACGGATCCCTGATGAAATTCAAAAGAAGAAAATGCTTGTGTAGAAGGTGTGTACTGACACACTGGTTTGCAAAAGAATCTTTCAAAAAGATTAACAGGGTTCATCTTTTTAGAAGAGATGGGTCTGTGATGAAAAGAAAAGGTGATGAGAACAAGTTTAAAGTGTAAGAGGGAACAATTTAAGGGAAAATGCTTAAATAATGGAATCTGAGTTCTCAATTATGAATAAATTATTGGATATAGGACTTAGTAATATTTCTGAAGACATTCTAGACTAATAAGACAGAAAACAGAATAAAATAAATACTGTTTACTTACATCAGACGACAGTGAACATGGGAGACATTTCACTAAACAGTGATAGATTGGTTGCATCACTAAAAAAAAAAAAAAAAAAATCAGGAACAAACCATAAAACATCATGTCCCCAAAAATCATGGTGCAGCCACACCTGTGAAACAGCATCTAGTCCTGATTGCTGTATATCAAGAAAGCTGTCATTGAAGCTGCGAAGGACCACTGTATGGTGGGGAGATGAAATATTCTTCAGCCTGTAAAAACTGATGGCTGAGAGGAAAATACAACCAAAGTACATAATTTTGTAAGTTACATGTGAGAAAGGAGGTACAGGGATGAACATGGACTTGTTTGTCCTTTCCTAGAATATTAGGCTTAGAGATACATACTAACACAGTGAAGAAATTGTTAAGACAAAAAAACACTACTTTGATAGTATTTGAATTCCTTTAGTTAACTTCTACCCTCAGAAATAACATAGACTGAAAATATTCATAGGTTCAAGAAGGGATAAGATACCAGTAAAAACCAGTTGCTGTCGAGTCAACTCGTGACCACGTGTAGAGTAGAACTGCGCTCTACTCCAGCTGATAGTCTGGAAGTAGATCAACAGGTCTTTCTTCCAAGGTACCTCTGGGTGGACTCGAACCTCCACACTTTCCATTAGCAGCTGATCATGTTAACCATTTGCACCACCCAGGGACTCCAAGAGGTAAGATAACTATTCATAATAAGTAAAGAGAAATTTGGAATGTGTGTTCATCCATCAGCTAAGGCTAAGATAGTGGAAGACAACCATACCCCTCCCCCAAATTGTGCCTCGCTTCCAGCATCAGTTACAAAATCTTAAGTGGACTGGTAAGGCATTTCTAATTCAATCAGCGTTTTTGTGTTGAATGTTTACCTTTCAGAATAAGAAGTCTTAAGCTAACAAAATTGTCAGATAGTGCTAGTTGATAATGAAAAACTCATTTTCTTTTTGTCCTGGGTACACAGGAAGAAACTCTGTTTTTATCCATTCCAGTTACTAAGATTATATTGTAGCTTCTTTGAATGGTATCTCATGTTGTAAATGTTCAATAAATTATGAGAAAGACACTTTTATCTTTTCTGTAGTACACAGTACGGACTCAGTGCAAAATGAAAGTTGAATAAATATTGGCTTATTACTGCCTTTGTCTCATGCTGTTCACCTTGCTTCTTTTCAAGCAACCAGGATGCTGGTTTTAAAAAGAAAGTATTTACTAGGAAGGTAAGAATATAGAACAGACCTGCCCTGGTGGTGTAGTAGTTAAGAGCTACTGCCGCTAACCAAAAAATTGGCAGTATGAATTCACCAGTGGCTCCTTGGAAACCCTATGGGGCAGTTCTACTCTGTCCTGTAGGGTTGCTATGAGTTGGAATTGACTTAATGGCAATGGGTTTGGTTTTTTGGTTTTTAAGACAAAGGTAAAATCTTTCTGAGGCATTCTAGGTCTTTATAGTATAAGCAACTGGCCCTCCAAAGGGCGTGGTAATGTGACAGAGTTCACCTGAGGCACAGAAAGCTGAGTGCATGAGTAGATTACAAACAGAATGCCCACCCACACCAAAACCCACTACCGTCCAGTCAATTCCAACTCATTGTGCCCCTATAGCACAGAGTAGAACTGCTCCATAGCGTTTCCACGTTTGTCAGTCTTTACAGAAGCACTGTCACATCTTTCTCCTGCAAAGCAGCTGGTGTGTTTCAAACTGCTGACCTTTTGGTTAGCAGCCGAGCACTTAACCACTGTGCCACCAGGGCTCCTTGAGAATGCTACCAAACAGAAACCAAACCTGTTGCCATCTAGTCAATTCCAACTCATAGTGACCATATAGGAGAGAGTAGAACTGCCCCATATGGTTTCCAAGGAGTGCATGGTGGATTTGAACTGACTTTTTGGTTAACAGTTGAGCTCTTAACCACTGTGCCACCAGGGCTCAGTGACCCTAAAATATGAAATTAGGATGTTGTGCAACAAGAACTACCTCATTGTTTGGCAAGCTGGCAGCTCAGCTGAAACACACGAAGATTTTACTAGAATCTTGCCAATGCTTAGGTCAGAAGCCTGTTGAAATCCTGTTCACTCACTCAAAATAGTTGAAGCTAGTGATAAAGTTAATGAAATTAAAGCTGCAAAAAGCCCAACTCTGGCTCAACTATGATCATACTGACTCAGCCTCCCGTTTAGAAGCCTGGCAAAAAAAGAGGTATATCCTTTTCTGGCAAATTACTATTTACTGTAATGCATACTGTTCTTTTATACAAAATGTTTACATACAGAGGAGTCAACAGGAGGAAATTCAAGAGATGGCTCAGATATGTTGGAATCACCAGGGACTGATAACTACGATAAATATGCTGAAGCATCTAGTTGAAAACATGCATGAAGAGATGGAGAATTTCAGCAGAGAAATGGAAACTACTAGAAACAAAAATATGGAATATGATTTATGAATGCACATAGAGGAATGGATCAATAAATTTTAAGACAGGCCAATTGAAAGCATAAAAACTGAAAAACAGGAAAAAAAGTAAAAAAGAAATCTCTGACATGAAGGCAAAATCAAATGACCTACCATCCTTGTAATTGAAATCCCAGAAGAAGGTAGAATGATACAAAAGAAATCTTCAATGAGATTATGACTGAGAACTTTTCTAAAATTGATGATGGACATGAATACATGAACAATAGAGAAAATCAACAAAGTCAAAAGTTGGTTTTTATAAATAATTGAAATGGAGAAAACACCTAGCAAGACTGATCAAGTAAAAAAGAAAGCAAATTTTTAACATCAAGAATGAAAAAGCAGGGGGCGGGACCAAGATGAAGGAGTAGTCAGATGCTTCCTCTGGTCCCTCTTACAACAAAGACCCAAAAAAACAAGTGAATCGATTATATAGGACAAGCTAGGAACCCTGAACATCAAAGGCAAAGCTGAGGAATTGGACTGAGTGGCAGGAGGAGGGAGAGACAGTTTGGAAGCGGCGAGGAGTTTCCAGACCTGATCCGGTGGGAGCTAGAGCCCTTCAGGCCAGATCAACTCGTGTGCACAAGCAGGAGTGCAAGCAATGGTGCTTGGAAGACGTTTTTCACATCGGAAGAGGCCCAGCAGCAGAGATCAGCAAAAGATTACTTGGGTCTGGCCTACCGTGCAGATCAAAAATACCCCTTTTTGGAAAAACCGCTCTCCATTTACCTCCCCACTCTCTGCTCTGCACCGATCTGGGATGCCTTCAGGGATTGCCAAGTCCTCTGGGCCGGACGTAGGACCCGTCATGCGCCCTGAGCCATTCTCCTGGCCTTACAGAGGGAACAAATTAATAAATGGGAAAAAAAAATCTGCTGGCTCCCCTAAGCTGGGAACTCAGGGTAGGCACAGCTACTTTGCCTAGGTACAGGCATAAAGGGTTCATGGACTTTAGTGCTTTTCACCCCTGTATAGACTTATGTGGGCCCATTTCAACAGCGTAGGCCCTCATTACCACAGTACAACAGGGTATATACCTGAAGTCTAACTTCAACTGTTGCAGCTGTGAAGTGGCAGGTTTGTGACATTTGACACTGCCCATTAAGCAGGGTCCTAACCTACCCACATCAGGGGCCTGAGGACTGGTGGCCCCACCCATGCCACCTAGCCACCTGCGACAGCAGTCCAAGAATAAGTGGTGTCCCCCAGTCCTTACAGCCAACAGCATTGGGTGCTTATAGTCCAGCTGCAAAACCCACCCACCTACATACTCTAGGGAACAGGGAGGTGCTTTCTTCCCAGACGCTCGTGCAGCCATCAGCCCCCTGCCTTGCTCAGCACGTGACCCCCCTACTGCAGCCAGATACCTGTGCCTACACCAATTACCCATGCCAGTCTATGACTGTAGGTGAGAGCCTGCACCACACACTTGGTGACCGACTACCTGGACACCTGAGCTGAATCCATACAAGAAAAATAGAATCCTTTGCTCACATACTTAGTAACAGATCTAACCACCTGGTGACAGGACAGTAGAGCTTCAAAGGCACTAATAATCAAACTAGCTCACACAAGCAGCCTATTTGGGCATACTAAAACAAAACAAGAAGCTAGGACAAAGTAATTGATGGCTCAGAGTCAGCAGTCAATATCAAATCACATAAACAGGCAGACCATGATGGCTTCAGCAAGCATCAAAAATAGATAATCAAGAAATTTTCCAGAGGAAGAAAATTTCTTGGAATTACTGGAGGTGGAATACAAAAGATTAATATACAGAAATCTTCAAGAGATCAGGAATGAGATGAGGCAAAGCGCAGACCAAGCAAAGGAACACACAGACAAAGCAATAGAGGATCTTTAGAAGGTTATTCAAGAACATAATGACAAACTTAATAGGCTGCAAAAATCCATAGACAGCAATCAGAACTCCAGAGGATTAGCAATAAAATTTCGAGAATTAGACAACTCAACAGAAAGTCATAGGAGGAGAATTGAGGCAATGAAAGTCAGAATTAGTGAGATTGAAGGTAAAGCACTTGACACCAACTAATGTGAGGAAAAATAAGATAAAAATGTTTTAAAAAATGAAGAAACTCTAAGAATTATATGGGAATCTATCAAGAGGAATAATCTACAAGTAATTGGGGTACAAGAACAGAGGGGGATAAAGAAAATACAGAGAGAATTGTTGAAGATTTGTTGGCAGAAAACTTCCCTGATATGAAAGATGAGATCATCAAACTCCACAAAAGGTAGATCCCAAAAGAAAGTCCCCAAGACATATTATAACCCAACTTGCCAAAACCAAAGATAAAGAGAATTGTAAGAGCCGCTAGGGATAAATGAAAACTCATCTACAAAGGAGAGTCAATAAGACTAAGCTCAAACTACTCTGCAGAAACCATGCAGGCAAGAAGGCAATGGGATGACATATATAAAGCCTTGAAGGAAAAAAATTGCCAGCCAAGAATTATATAACCAGCAAGACTGTCTCTCAAATCTGATGGTGAAATTAGGGCACTTCCAGACACACAGAAGTTTAGGGAATTTGCAAAAACCAAACCAAAATTACAAGAAATACTAAAGGGAGTCTTCCAGTTAGAAAATCAGTAACATCAGATAACAACCCAAGACTACAACCCAGGACAAAGCAACCAGATATCAATCCAGATAGGGAGGTCACAAAAATAAATCAAAGCTAAAACATTGAAAATAGGGAAACAGAGATGTCAATATCTAAAAGATGACAACATTAAAACAAAAAAAAAGACTAAAAAATGTAGACATAGATTTTTCATATGGAGAGGAAATCAAGGTGATATAAAGAAATAAAAGACTGGTTTAAACTTAGAAAAATAAGGGTAAAAATTAAGGTAACCACAAAGGAAACTAACAATCCTACATATCAAAATAAAAAAAAAAGAAAAATATAAAGACTCAGGAAATACAAAATCAACAACAATGAAAAAGATGAAAAGAAAATACATAAAGAAAAGCAACTCAGCACAGAAAATTAAGAGGAACAAGGAAACTCAGCAACACAAAAAAAGGCAACAAAATGACAGCACTAAACTCATACCTATCAATAATTATGCTGAATGTAAATGGACTAAATGCACCAATAAAGAGAAAGAGAAGAGCGTGGCAGAATGGATAAACGCAATCCGTCTATGTACTGCCTACAAGAGACACATCTTAGACTTAAAGACACAAACTAAAACTCAAAAGATGGAAAAAAATATACCAAGCAAACAGCACTCAAAAAAATAGCAGGAGTGGCAATATTAATCTCTGACAAAATAGACTTTAATGTAAAATCCACCACAAAGGATAAGAAAGGATACTATATAATAATTAAAGTGTCAATACACCAGGAGGACATAACTCATAGTAAATATTTATGCACCCAATGACAGGACTCCAAAATACACAAAACAAACTCTTAACAGCATTGAAAAGAGAGAGAGACAGCTTCACAATAATAGTAGGAGACTTCAACTCACCACTTTCAGTGAAGGATACAACATCCAGAAAGAAGCTCAACAAAGACAC